CATATCACATGGATGTGCGCCCGCTTAAAAATCACTCCCCATTGGCCCACCCTTAATTGCCAATAACTTTTTAGGGGTGAGTCTGATCAAAAAGTGCAAGAGGACTTTTCTGCTCAGAATCACCCCCTGATCCTAGGGTGTTCAGATGTACATGTACTTCTGAAACACCCTGTATATAAAAAGCTCAACAAGGATCCAACCCCAGGCATGGAGAGGAAGACGGTCAAACTTCTGAAGGAAGCTGATCTCTCTCCCGAAACTAAAAAAATCCTTAGTCCCCGAGAATCGTTCTCTCCCAGACTTTATGGTCTCCCAAAAATTCACAAAGAGACTATCCCCCTTCGTCCAATAGTGAGCAACATTGGTGCCCCCACGTACCAATTAGCTCGCTATCTGACCAAACCACTCCAAGCACTCGTGGGTCAGAATAGTTCCCACATCAAAAACTCCCAAGACTTCGTGAACAAACTGTCTCACATTCAAACTAGTCCAGGAGATCTTTTGGTTAGCTTTGATGTGGAGTCCCTGTTCACGAATGTACCTATTCCCGACACTCTTAAAATTATCGAAAAATCCCAAAAAATCCCACCCAAACTCCTCCCTCTGGTTGAACACTGCCTGACTTCCAGTTATTTCCAATTTCAAGGGAAGTTCTATGAACAAATATTCAGAGCAGCAATGGGTTCACCCATTTCTCCTATCATAGCCAACATTTTTATGGAAGATTTTGAAAACAAAGTTCTTAAATCAGTTCCTCTTAAACCCTCTGTTTGGTTCAGGTAACCAAACAGAGGGTGTAAGGCGACCAATGTCACCATCACGTCATCATGTCACGCTAATATCGATGATCCCACTCAACCAGGAACACATTGGGCCGCGATGTACGTTGACCATGAGGGAAAGGGAACGTATTTTGACCGCTATGGAGTTCCACCGAGAGATCGCAGGGTTGCATGCTGTCTTAGAAGAAACTGTCGGAACTATAAATACAACCATAAAGAACTCCAAAGCGTCACAAGTAACGTGTGTGGTCATGTCAATGGGTTATCTTTGTCATCTTTCTTGCGAAAATTCTCTGATAACAGGGAACGTAACGACAAGTTAATTATAAGAATGTTCAAGAAAATAATGAAGAATAAATCCGTTAAGAGAAAATTTGTAAACCTATCCGGTAAAGGATCAATCTTACCGGGATTTAATGAATTGTTCAAAAATGTGTGAATAAACAATTTAATATACTGTAAAATTTATTCGTTCATTTCATTTCAAATCTCCTCAAAATCAGGTCTTCTTCCTAACCTATTCCGTAAAACTACAGTTATTTCCTTCCAAAACCCTGGTTTCTGTTCTGCGGCAGAGGGCATTGTCCCGTTGACCATTGTGTGGATAACGTCCTAATGGCTCAAATGAGCTAGATATAAGACTAGACCGGCAAACGCATGGGAACCGCGCTCTTTAAACGTTGAAAACACTTCCTTGGACGTTTTCTCACTGTGTAAATCGATCTAAAAATGATTTAATTGAAAATTCAGAAGAAAAAAATTTCAAGTTGACGTACCATCCAGCTTTGCAGATTACAATTGTAGTGATTATTACCCCGACTCCTGCCCCGTTCGGCCTCCTTCTCTCTATTCTCCATGCCTCCGATTCACGGACGTATAATTAGCAGGCAACTAATGCATTTCCAAATGAAACCAATTCCTATCATTTGGAAATAATTTGGGATAGTTTACGATTGCAATTTTATAGTTTAGGTTAACTAATAGTTAGTTAACTAATAGTTTATTTATAATTAATTACTTTTTTATATGTCGTATAGTTAGCAGGTGGTATGACCAACTATTAATGGGACTGGCTTAGATCGATTCAAAATCATTTGAGAAGGCCAAAAAACATTGATTTTGTGTTTGAGAATTAATATTGGTAATTAGAGTACATAACTAGGTACAGGAGTTACTATGTTATCTAATTACCTAAATATTAATTTTTTTTATCAATTTTTTTCTAATTTTGGCTTGGCGAGCTACTTGCGCATGCAGAGATTCCCACGGAAAGATCAGCTGTGCCATTAACGCCCCCCCCCCCCCCCCNGTGAGCGCATATACCAAAGGAGTTTTTGTTTTGATGTTGGTTTAGTGTGCTAAAACGAATTCAGTCAATTAACAACATTCAAGGAATTATTTGTATTTTATCCTAAAATGACTCCATATCATCAATTCCATTGTGGGGTTCAATATAGTGCGTGAGTTAGTCTACAAGTGGTGGGTTCATGAGAAATAAAAATCCTTGGATGGCGTTCAACAAAATCAATGGGGATGCCCCAACAGACATAAATTTCTCTCTTTTGAATAATCCCAAGTTACTCAGGAATATGGAGAATTCATGGACATCACCCAAACCATAATTCAGAACTATCTTATGCTCAGGATAAGGACAGCCGTATTGAAAGTACCCAGGAAATGGAAACCTAGAAGATTTAGCCAGGAGCGATTTCAGAACTTTTGAGATCGAACAATGATTCTCTGAGATATTCACTCTAGATAATTACTCAAGAGATGTATGTTGAATCGGTAATAAAAAAAATTTCTATAAGAATGTGAAATTTGGAATTTCGTTTAGTCATTGACTTGAGAAAATCCAATTTGGAGTCAAAGGACATAAATTTCAAGGGATTGGATTTTTAAAGAGTTTTTCCATTGTCAAAAATCTGAAAGCGATTTGTTTAATGAGACTTAAGATCTAGAATTCCATAATTTTTAAATTAATGAACTCTATTTTGAGGAGATTCCTCTTCTGAGCTCATTGAATCTCCTCACAAACGCTTTCGGCACTACTGGGCAGATCGTCGCCTTGGATTCTCAAGAAAAGATAATTTTTAAAACTTTTCAATAAAACTCGGTCTAAAAAAATTCCAGGATTTATTCTCTGATTTATATAGATGAAAATTCAGAAATTCAAATGTTTAAAGATTTTGTTCTGTAATAAAAATGAGGAAAATTATCGTTTACTGCACTTTATAACTGAAATTGACAATTTTTGAATCGAATAGTCGAATTTGGATGGGTTAGTTATAATCAGTTTGGCTTCAAAAACATTAATTTGGAGTTCAGTAGTTTGAACATTCAGTATACTGCATGAAATTGGATGGATTTGATTTTTAAAGATTTCCTTCTGTTTCCAAAGTTCCGAAAATGATTTGTTCGTTTGATTTAAGACACAAAATTCAAACACATCTTCAGGGATCAGGAATTTCACCACAATTATATCCGTGTTGATTGAATTGTCAGAAAATAAGCGATTTTGCAAAAATTCGTGTATTCTGATGAATTTTGATGAGAAACCTTCTGAGAGAAGAATGAAACTCTAATGAAATTCGATCAAATTCCACTAGTTGAATACCCCAAACATTTTTTTTTCACACACCTGCACGGAAAGTTCGCACTTTGCTCCCTGATGAGCGGGAGGAAAGTGAGTACTTTCCGCCCTAGGGTGGAAAGTTGCTCCCAAGGGTGGGAAGTCTTGACTCAAAGAGCAAAATACGAACTTTCCATTGCAGGCGTGTTAAAAAATAGCATGTGCACCTCGAGCGGGAAAACATGACTTTCCGCCCTTGATGCACAATATACTATTCTTTCTTAAAAAAGATCCTGAGCCTTCATTTCTGTATGATTTTTTTGTTAATACAGCACATGCAGACAATATAAGTACATTTCTCCGTTTGTCTATTCTCTATCCACCGAAAAAGAGGAATAAACAATTTTAACTATGTAAACGCATGAATACCCCAAAAATAATGTATTACTAACGTTTTTGGCATGGAATCTGTCCATATTTATTCTTTATAATCTCGGGAGAAATAAGACGTTTAGCATCTATTTTAGATATTACGAAAGTGACTCTTCTATATAAATGGACACATTATGGTCCACTTAAATATTATTAATGATAGATTCCCTGAAGTGAGTATCACGAAATTTAAACGAAAGTACCTTGAGTATTACATATGAAAATTTTTATCTATAAAACAATGTTAATACTACAATCTTTTAGTACCATCTACTTGATAACATGGTAAATTGAAGAGTATTTTATGTATTCTAGACTTCGCTAAAATATTTTTTTCACACCAATTCTTTAATTATGATTCGCTTAAAAATCATCAACGAACAATTTTTCAATTTCAAAATCATGAAATTGAAATATAGATACTTTGAAATATCATATATGAAAACGTGAAAAAATGAAACAATATCTAGGTGTTACAAATAGTTTTGTGCGATATATCTTCCCATAATAATAGTTCATAACGTTTCATAAATAACAAAATTACTTATCTATACTTAGTATCACAAGACTTTCTTCTCAAGACCTACAAGACTTACTTCTCCAAAATTATTTTTATTGATTTTTTTGCTTAAATATTGACGAGAGGATTGTCGAGATTTTCAAAAGCATTAAATTCAAACAGAAAATAATACTCTATAACATTTATACTTGAATATCAGTAAAGCAGAATTCGTAGATTAAAGGATTATTGAATTCAAATATAAAAACTTTAAAGCTGTATGAATTTTGTTGGATAACGAAATAATTTGTTCTTAAATCGAATAATGAACTCTTTATATGATCGTAAAGCCCAAAAATCATGGAATGGATAAAATAGAGGAATGAATAAATCTCACGTTAATTAGTCTGATTCCCGGAATTAACCGTCTTTGCGGAAAGCTCTCAACGCATAGCTGATCATGTTCCCGGGGCGTTCTGCGCATGCGCAATTGGCCGGGAAGCCAAAATTAGAACACAATTAATTTAAAAATAAATATTAATTCCCAAACTATAAATCGATGTTTTTTGGTCTTCCCAAATAATTTTACATCAATCTAAGCCGGCCCAATCAATATTTGGTCATACCATCTGCTAACTATACGTCCATAAAAAAGTTATCAATAACCTATTGGTTCCTAAACTATAAAAATGCATTCCTAAACTATCCCCAATTATTCCCAAATGATAGGAAATGGTTTCATTCGGAGATTCGTTATTTGCTTGCTAATTAGACGTCCGTGATGCACTATTCCCCCAAATGATGAGTCAAGCAAGAATTGTTGAGTCCATTTCCGAATTTCTGCAAAATTGAACTCGGTCATTTTCATGGTCCGCTCCATCATCGTTTAAAATATGGAGGATTCATACTAATCCTCAGTTTTATTTATTATTGAATCATTTAAAGAGTCTTTCGTATAATCAAATATTAGACGACTCATGATCCAGACTTTTACAGTTATCTGAATTTTACAGTTATTACTGATTTCACAAATACCATGAACCCCATCAATATACATCTGAATATTTCATACTCTGAACATTTTTGGATTTAATTTTTACTGTATTCGCTGTTTACAGATACCTAATTTTAACGATTCCAACACGTTAAGTTTTCAACAATCGTTTATTTTGACAAAAACGTGGTTCAATTATCCATCCCCTCCAACTTTTCACATGTTGAAAAGATACTAGTCCGAAATGCACCAACTCTGCATTTTGCATGCTCAGTGACTTTTTAGTTCCTAGGTTTACCATACACACAGTAACAGTTTCGAATGACCGTACGCAAGCCAAGGGAGCTTCCATAGGAGTTTCCAAACCTGTATGTAAGATTGTGATGTGGATCCACCATGCGATGCGAAAACTCATAAGAGAATGTGCGCCACCATATTCAAATATGGCAATGAGCATTGAAGTTGATCACGTGATCACTGGGAGGTCGCCATGACACTCATGAATCTGAGTCTCACAATAAAGTTCAGCTCAGCGATCGCGGTAGGCGCCTTGGACAAATCGACAAGTCTCTCGAAACATATTCGGGGATAGCGGAAGGAACTCATGTTTAATATTTTTATGATCCAACCTACTGTCATACTCAGGATCTTGACCGCGATGTGTGGAATATTTAATTCGAGTCGTATTAGGTAACCAGGTGTGTCGCGTGGCAGCCAGAATAAACGTTTGAAGGAATTACATTGAGATGTCCCAGACAGGAGCTAGAAACAGAAGGGTAGAGGAGACTAACGAATCGTATAGCTTGATTTTCCCAACCGATTCCTCAGCTTGAATTCTGGCAACAACTGCGACGGCAGCGATGGTTGCCGCCTTAGCTTTACTGATAGCACTGCTGGCTGAGAGATTCCTAAGAGATGAGGAGGAGAAGGTCATCCCCAGATAGACATAGGAACTAACAATTTCGAGTGCATTACCATCATATAGAAAGTCACGATCTAACTTTTTCCTCCTGCCCGCTTTCTCGAAAATCATAACTTTAGTGTTGTCAGTGTTTACGACCAGGTCCCTCATGCTACAATATTCGTGTAAGGTCTTCAAAATTTTTTTGAGCTCAATAGATGAATTAGCGTTAATGACTAGATCGTCAGCGTACAATAACATCAAAATATCCCTGACATTAGCGAACGAAATACCCATGATGCTTTTCTATGAAAAACTAGCGCCGCGCGGCCGCAAGCGGCCACGACGTTGATGCCCTTTCATTATTCTGTCTCATTTTTTCCTTGTGTTTCTTACAAAAATTGATGATTCATCATCGGCTTAGTAAACTGAGTGTTAAGATTAATGGATACAATGTTTATCGATTCATCACCTGTTCAATTTCAATATTTCAATAAGTGATTCACTAATTTTGAATTTCTGTGCTCACTGAATGATGTTCTAACTATAATTATAATCATAATTTTATGCAGAGTGCGAAACAATAATTATTAAAGTTCTCA